GCTTGATGCAGCCATTGTCAGGGTGCCAGACAGACTGGACAAATAATAAAAAGAGGTCACTTATTAATGAATGGTCAAAGGCTGACCATGATCAAAGAGAATAAACATCAGAAGAATGATTATTTTTTATCTTCAAGCCTACTGCACATTGTGATTTATAGAACTGGCCATTGTGGTTGAATAGATTAGGGCTCATTGTAACTTAACTAGAACCTTAAGAGATGGCTGCAGGTCATCTTTCATTTGTCAAGCATTATTTAGTTTACTGATAACAGAAAAGTATTTTTTCTCAAGAAAAGTTATTTTCATCTTTGTCTTTGTAAGAATGAAATCTCTCTTATCCTCATGGGGGATGAGGGCTATTTCATTTTAATATGCTCCCATTAATAATGTCAAATAGACAAATCTGATTCTTATCCTAGGCACTTTACTTTTAATAAACAACAATAAGTACACTTCAGAACATTCAGGGTAACATTCAGGGTCTATTCAAAAAATAAATCAAGATTTTAATTAAATTCCTTCCTTTTTAATCTTTCAGAAATCACAATAAAGTATATCTTATATTGAATCTTAATACTTTTACCCAGAAATTGTCATTTGAAGTTCATTGTACAAAAATATTACTTAAAAACTTGAAGCAATACTTGCCTAGTGTATGATTCTGCACAATGCATCCAGAGGTATATTATATCTCTTCACAAAAGACAGTTATGATTTTGCATAATATAATGTTTATATATATTGTTGGAAATAATGTTTAAACATTTTTAATAGTTCATGTGAAATAGAAAGTGGTTGTTAGGATATGTGATTGTTTTACTATTTTTTTGGCAAAGTTATTTTTCCTTAAAAAATCTGCAATGAAATATTTTTAAGAAAAGATATACTTTATGTTCATAACAATTGCATACTTTATATTTCTAATTTTAACTACTACCATAATCATTTTTAAATGATGGGGTGTTCTATTTTATGTGCATATATGTATAAATATAGATTGCATTAAAATCTGTAAAGTCTCTCATAACTTTTTTTAGAGTGGCTCTTTTATAAATTATTTTGTAATATTATTGTATTTTGTAAATATAGCTTTATAAAAAGGTAAGACTTTAATCAAGTATTTGTCTCGTCTTACCTTATATGGGATGCCTTTTTACACAATGACCAAGGCAGTGAATGACAAATAATTTCAATTTCATAATTGAGTTTTAACAATTAAAGAGCTGAGGACAACCCAACAATGTTCTTACACAAAAGCAAGATCACATATCAGCTAAGAAATTTGAAGTTTTCTTTTCAAACACAAGGTAATATGAGAGGACAACAAATTCACACAACGTTTATGAAAAACAATCGGCTTAAAGAAGAGTATAAGTCCGGATAGAATTAAAGAAAAACAATAATGAGGAATTTATGTCGTAAATCTACAATGTAGTAATATTGCTTTTTTCTTAAACAGTGCTTGTCATATCCTGCAAAAGTAAAACTTGTAATTTCCTGGTCCATATCAGAAAACCATCAACGTAATCATCTAACAGGCCTAATATTTACAGTCGAATAATTTAATATGACAACGATTGTTGCTGATAAATCACAAAACATCACATTCAAAATGGTGATTTATTTCTCTGTCATAAATTTTTTATTCCTATAAATGCATATAATATTATATGCATCAGCAATCAAAACAATTAAAAGGAGAAAACGATACAAAAACCAGTATGGATATTAAGCTGACAAATTATTTTATCATTTAGAAATTCTTCTCCCCAGGGAAGCTGTTTCTTTTTATTTTTATCAAAAAATGATTAAATGGAAAAACATAAAGCTGAGACAATTCTTGTCAACTGAAAGCAGTAGACATTTGATATCATCTGAAAGGGAATAATTTCTTGTGCAGTAATGAACTTTATCAGGGTGTCTGGGTATTAACAAAAGATAGCTCTATAATTAAAACGTTTGAAGTCCTTACATAATCAAATCATCAATCAGAGAAATTGTATAAAAATACATCCAACTGAATGCCATTAAAGACATTATGTCCAGGAATTAATATAATTAATCAGACCAGCAACTGATGCATTTAATTATTTCTTTTCTGTTGTTTTCTTAATGGCATTGAGAACTGATACCAAAAAGTAGTTAGTACATCAAAACAGTTATTAGTTTTTAAGAAAGTAATGGTGCGGTTAAGTATGCTAACATTGAGTATGCTATCTGTGAGTAACCACCTGAGAATTAAAAAAATATTGAAAAATTCCTGACACCTTATCAAAATATTTTGTTTTTCTTTATTTAAAAAAATATATACTTTTTCTAATTGGCATTGTTCAATGCCATCTGATCATCAATTATTCACTTTCTTTCTTGGTTTCATTGTATGACATTGAAACTTTTATGACATAATGATCAAAAATTCATTGAAATGTAAGACATCAATGGAATGTATCCACTTTTTAACATTAACATAGCAGTTGTGGATAGTTTGTGTGAAAAATCAAGGAAAGATACCATCACATATTTTCATCATATCTGAAAGCTTAAAAAATGGTTAAAATATGTATAGTTTTTACACAAAACTGTATGTCAAATAAAAAACTTCTGTAAAAAAAAGTATGATATGATGTCTTTATAGGCAACACAAGATTCTAGATCAATTTGATCATACTTAAGATTGGAAAGCCAATAATGTAAAACGTTTGGAAGCATAAAAAACAAAAGGGCTCTATCAGCATGACTAAAACTTAAAATTATGTAGAAAACCCGACATCTCTTAGACCTGGTCATGACTGTATTGAAGTAAGGTTTTTTGCATATTTAACAATAAACTAAATTATTTACCTATCAAAAACCCTCATTTTATCAAAAGCAAAGGAAATAAAACTAATTAAATCTGTTTTTATTGATATCAATATTCTATGCAGAACATTGAATTTAATATAAATTTGATCTGAGGAAACAGTTGGTATATTTGGTTTTCCAACTTTTTTATGGATGCAAGTAAACAAAAGTTGATACTCTTGAAAAAAAACATTTTAATATTTTTATTTTTCAGAAATCCTTAGTAGCCAGTGGTATACTATATTAATTTTCCAATAATGATCATTATCGTTGATTTCCTGTGAATTTGACCATAAAATGTAAACATTTGTTGTTTTTGATAGACATTTACACCTACTCTATTACACCTGACCACATCAGCTGATCTACCTGGGTGTTCTCATCCCTGTATGAAGTAAAGTAGATCTCTGTCTGACAAGTGTAGGGAACTACTACACCATGTAAAACATTGATAGATACATCATCAACATCTGAAATAATATTTTGACATAACCTCTTCTATTTTTAATGAAAAAGTCTGTATAGTTTCTTTCACTTTGTTAAATATTGGAAGATAGTTTTGCACTAGTAAAACACAGTCTGTCAAAACAAATTAAGTAAGAAAGTGTCAGTGGTCAACATCAAACCCTACTCATCTAAGAATGTCTCACAAGGTAAAAAATGTTTGCATGTTTATTGAACAGATACCTGGTGTGTATGCAGGTTTTATTAACAGTATTTTTGCACTTATTATGCAATGAATCACATCACCTGGCACCATATTGTAAATGTTCAAATAATTGTAAAGCAAAAACAAATATCAATTAGTGGATCAGGAAACAGTTGCAAGATTATCAAACAAAGCATATCATAATTTGTGTATGCAAATATAATTAAGGTAAAACAAAGCATATTATGATTATAAATGTACTTTTTTTTACAAAATCTTGTCAGAGGAAATTATAAATGATCAAATAATAAACAGGCTAAAGTAAATATCTATGACTGCATCAGGAAACTAGCAGAAAGTTTATGTACATCAATGCAAAAAGCAACTTCTATTAAATCTGGCCATTAGTTTTCTCTTTGAATTGTTTTATGTTTGTCATTTCAGTGCCTTTTATAGCTTGCTCATTGTTGACGACCGTAGAGTGACCTATACTTGCTTACTTCAACATCATTTGGTCTCTGGTGGACAGTTTTCTCATTGGCAATAATACCACATATTTTTATTTTTATATTCTATGCTTTCTCCTCTCCCTTTATCATTGTCTCTTTCTTCCAGATTTCTATTTTTCATTCCCTTTACCTCCAATACTAATTTCTGCTTCCACTTTGTCCTTTTCTTTCTCTTTTCCTTTTTTTCCCCTTGAATACTGGTCATCAGTCAGTCAGTCTCATATTACCTTATTTACCCTTTTATTACATGGTTCAGTAGAGCACTTAGGGAAACCACACAGGCAAGTTATATGAGAGATTAACCTTGGTCAGCAAGGTAATTAAAAGAGAACAATAGCCAGGTATGAAAAATACTAATAGAAAATATACATTTACTGTATGTATCAGTAGTAGTACATGCATGAACAAATCCATACCAATAATTGTCCACATCAAGCAACAAAAACATTTTGATAAACTGATTAATGGGGGTTTGGAATGCAATTAAAAGAAATGTTTGATAAATATCATTTCTTGACATGGCTTTCAGGTGATTTAAAAGAAATGAAGTGTTTACAATCCTATAAACTCTCAGCTTTACATGGACATTATAAATGGCCAGAAGGCCAGTCTTGTCAACAACAATTATCATGGTCAATGATTAAAGTGACGAATTTACCTTGCTTGACCTGCTGATATCTTGAGAAAAGCAAAAGGATATAGTCTAAGAAATCATATACAAACCAGATGTAGCTAATGTATTTACAACAAACATCTGTATGTACAAGTATAGGATACTGTGGTTTCATTTTTTTTGTGGCAACCAATTTTCTTGCATTTAGAAAAAAATATATATTTGTTGCTCTTAGCATTAATGGCATTTATGGAGAACTCTGTAGCCTTGTAAAAACCACAAAATCATGTATCCATGAAAATTGTGGTTTTTACAAGGCTACAGAGTTCTCCATAAATGCCATTAATGCTAAGAGCAACAAAAATATAACAGCGTTGGAACTTACCTGCAAAAATGAAGCCGGGTCACCTTCTTTTAATACTTCAATGCAGAAATGTAACAGTCCAGTTGTCTTTTGTAACAGTGAAGTACAATGCGTCACTTGTTCTTTTAGTACTCTGACTTTCATCTCTCTTTCTTGATGCACATTTTCAATCAATTCCAGCTTTCTTTTCTTTAAAGCTTCTATTAAAGCATCACACTGGGCAACAACTCTGGCTTCAAATTCAGTACAATTGCCCTAAAAAAATTAAAAAACAATTGTTCTAGAAAATTCATGTGTATTTTTTTTTTTCTTCTGAGAATGAACTAAAATTCATCTTGTAATATGGGTAAAGAGAGATGTTGGATATACGTATACACCAAACTTATGAGTTATTGAAGGAAATAAAAAATCTTTGACTTCACAGATCCAAATTCCAAATTGATTGTTTTTTCTAATGTCATTCGGTCAACCTTGTCTTTTGTTATATCTAAAACAGTTTTTCCAATGTCATTTGGACCACCTTGACTTTTGTCATATCTAAACAGTTTTTTCCAATGTCATTTGGTCCATCTTGTCTTTTGTCATATCTAAACATTTTTTCCGATGTCATTTGGTCCACCTTGTCTTTTGTCATATCTAAACAGTTTTCCCAATGTCATTTTGTACACCTTGTCTTTTGTCATATCTAAACAGTTTTTCCAATGTCATTTGGTCCACCTTGTCTTTTGTCATATCTAAAGTTTTTCAGATGTCATTTGGTCCACCTTGTCTTTTGTCATATCTAAATAGTTTTTCCAATGTCATTTGGTCCACCTTGTCTTTTGTCATATCTAAACAGTTTTTCCAATGTCATTTGGTCCTCCTTGTCTTTTGTCATGTCTTAACATTTTGTCATTTGAAGAATTGGTGTTGATGGCAGATCTTCAATTGTTTTTGTTAAAATAATTCACTTTTTTTTTAGACTTAGGGTGATCTAAACCTTGACATACTGTATAGACATGAATGACACGTGTTAAAATGATTCACAATTTGTTTAGACTTGAGGTGATCTAAACCTTGACATATTGTATAGAGATTAACGACAATATCTAGCTCTGCAAAGCACTTCATATTGCTATAGACTGAATATTTAGCTCTGCAAAGCTCTTTATATTTTGTGTCTTTGGGTTACTGTCTCATTGATATATATACTACATTTCATTTTATTCATATCAAAATTAGGGTCAGTTGTAGTAAAGTCAAGAACTAGAGGCTCTAAAGAGCCTGTGTCGCTCACCTTGGTCTATGTGCATATTAAACAATGGACACAGATGGATTCATGACAAAATTGTGTTTTGGTGATGGTGATGAGTTTGTAGATCTTACTTTACTGAACATTCTTGCTCCTTACTATTATCTCTATCTATAATGAACTTGGCCCAGTAGTTACAGTGGAAAATATTTTGTAAAAATTTACAAAAATTTACAAAATTTATGAAAATTGTAAAAAATTGACTATAAAGGGCAATAACTCCTTAAGGGGTCAATTGACAATTTTGGTCATGTTGACTTATTTGTAGATCTAACTTTGCTGTACATTATTGCTGTTTACAGTTTATCTCTATCTATAATAATATTCAAGATAATAACCAAAAGCTGCAAAATTTTCTTAAAATTACCAATTCAGGGGCAGCAACCCAACAACATGTTGCCTGATTGGTCTGCAAATTTCAGGGCAGATAGATCTTGACCTAATGAACAATTTTATACTATCAGATTTGCTCTAAATGCTTTGGTTTCAGAGATATGAGCCAAAAACTGCATTTTACCCTATGTATTATTTTTTTGCTATGTCGGCCATCTTGGTTTGCGGGCTGGGTCATCGGACACATTTTTTTAACTAGATACCCTAATGATGATTGTGGACAATTTTGGTTAAATTTGTCTTAGTAGTTTCAGAGGAGAAGATTTTTGTAAAAGATTACAAAAATTTACGAAAAATGGTTAAAAATTGACTATAAAGGGCAAAAACTCCTTATGGGGTCAACTGACCATTTTGGTCAAGTTGACTTATTTTGTAGATCATACTTTGCTGAACATTATTGCTGTTTACAGTTTATCTCTATCTATAATAATATTCAAGATAATAACCAAAAACGGCAAAATTTCCTTAAAATTACCAATTCAGGGGCAGCAACTCAACAACGGGTTGTCCGATTCATCTGAAAATTTCAGGGCAGATAGATCTTGACCTGATAAACAATTTTACCTCATGTCAGATTTGCTCTAAATGCTTTAAATTTGGTTTCAGAGATATAAGCCAAAATCTACATTTTACCCCTATGTTCTATTTTTAGCCATGGCAGCCATCTTGGTTGGTTGGCGGGGTCATCGGACACATTTTTTAAACTAGATACCCCAATGATGATTGTGGCCAAGTTTGGTCAAATTTGGCCCAGTAGTTTCAGAGGAGAAGATTTTTGTAAAAGTTTACGGACGACGGACGACGGACGCAAAGTGATGAGAAAAGCTCACTTGACCTTTCAGGTCAGGTGAGCTAATAATGAAATTTTTGTAGTAGATATGCACGGCTGTAATAGTTTTAAAATGTCACTTTAAAACCTTATCGTTTTTTTTTTCAACTTTGATCAAATACATGAATCTTTCAGATAAAAAAACACCTCTGAGATCAAGACATACAAACAATAAATCTAATTTTACCAAAATTTGTCTATGCAGGACTGCAAAAACGAAATTAATTACAGCATATCAGGAAACATAAACCGGTTTTCTTGACACACTATGCACCAAAACTAATAGACATTCTACACAGAACCCATTCAATATGTATAATATTTCTCTGCTTAATCAAATATAAAGGCCGAAAATAAGTTTTATTGTGACATATCAGCAACTAGCTGCATACAATATTGATACATGATAACAAAACATGAGAAAAGTAAAAGTAACCTATTAACATTGTGGCATATAAATTTCTTATGCAAATATATCATTTTCCCTTGAGTTTTAAAATTAATCAAAATAGGTTTTTTAATATGGGTTCATTGAAACAGGGATTCAAAAGAAATGTTTGATATTAAAACAATATATCACACTCCATTAATACTTTTTATCCATGAATAACAGTAAAACCATTCCAAATGACATTTTTTTGTGAGAGCCCTTGTTCCAAGTTTGATATTTGGTTTTAGTATCTCCATAATATCACAAGTTCCTTTTCAGGTTTCAACACTGACAAAATTACTGTAGTCTTTTGATTTTTTACTTCAGGAAGGAATTTTTTGTCTTCAAGCTAGTCCTATTTTTTAATTGGAACACTTAATTCATTACAACAGAAATATTTAAATACATACATTTTGGTATGACTACTTGATTTCAATTGTATCAGTCAACCAGAAAATGGTAAAAACTATTTGGAAATCTTTGATAAGCCAATACCCTTTGAAGGTCAGTTGACCACATTTAAGTGCCAAATCCTGATTTGAATTGCCATCTATCTAGCTGATGAAAACAATATCAATTAGTAAAAAAATTACTGTTTTTAAACTGTTTCATAACCAACTGAGTTTTATTAGTACATGTTACTTTTTTTTTTTATAGAATATTGGTTTACAGCATAGATACTCATAGAATCCAATTAACAGTCACTCAAATACTTCGGCTTCTCTTACTCCATTAAACTATATTTCGCTTATTTTTTCAGATCAATCAATAACACATAGAGACACATTCAGAAAAGCAGAGCAACCAGCAATTATCTCACATTTAAGTAACCTTAAAACGGAAATGGCAAGCTTGGATGGAATCAAAGATAGAAAAGGCTAATCTGTGTGCAATAATATTATTCAAACCATAACAAAAAGTTATTGAATTTAAATTCTTTACTGGTAATTAATCCAATATATACTATTGCTGTAACCTAGGAAATATCTATTTTCAAAAGATCTATTAGGAAACACTATGTAAATTGCTACTTTAGAAAACTAAACAATGAAGAAATAAAGTTGCTTATCTAACACAAGTTACAAGTTTACCATAACATGGTATTAGCAAACAAAGAAACAAAAGTTCACAGTTATAAAATTGTGTTCTATTGCACAACAAAATTATTGAATAATATTTTTGACAGCAGAGCATAAATACCACTTTATACCAGTTGGGATTTCAACACAGGACCCCTTGCACAGTAAGCCATTGCCCTGCCAACTAAGCTTAAGAGCACAGCTAATGGTGGGAGAAAGGTTATATATCTACTAGGTCAAAGGAAGCACAGCTTCACACTTAAACTGCTAAACAAAGACCAACACAAATCAAACCAAAAAACAATGTTACAAAGTGTACAAAGGACTCAAATGGCAGGGTTGCACACAATGTTTCTTAAACAATGAAGAATGGTCTATAATGAAGCACTGATATAGCATAAAGCAATCATCAATCAATCCATCATGAACAGGCAAAACTGAGTTTTACTGTGGGTATGGCTGTGTATTTGTTTATTCCACATTGGCTAGAGGTATAGGGGGAGGGTTGAGATCTCACAAAACATGTTTAACCCGCCGCATTTTTGCACCTGTCCCAAGCCAGGAACCTCTGGCCTTTGTTAGTCTTGTTTTAATTTTTTAATTTTGGTTCATTTATATGTTTCAGAGTTTAGTGTGACGTCCATTTCCGTTGAACTAGTATACATTATTGTTTAGGGGTCAGCTGAAGCCCACCTCCAGCTGCAGGATTTTCTCACTGTATTGAAGACCCACTGGTGTCCTTGGGCTGTTTTCTGCTCTTTGGTCGGGTTGTTGTCTCTTTGACACATACCCCATTTCCATTCTAAATTTTACATATATAAAAATGTTAAACTGAAATAAAATATTAAGTTCCCAAGCAAAACTGGAAAAAAATTCTCAAACAATTCTAAACAGCAGGTAGACAACTTTAATATGTGTGCAATCTTTCTGTGAAGTTAAAGAACTGGGTTTAAACCCGTCAGAGGAGTTGATTACACAACATAGGTACATTTGTACATACTTGCTCTGCCAACGAAAATCACTATACTATAAGCTGGTTTTGCACTTTGTGCAATTTGGCCAAAAAAGGTCAAATATTATGGATGGAACAATTTCTAAATCACTAAGAATATAAATTTTTATTACTTTCCATTGAATGAATTGGTAGGCTTTATTAATAATATCCAGCTATGCATAAGTTTTTAACTGTTGTACTGTTACTTCAGGTGGGTTGATTGATTTATTTTTGGTGTT